TATCACCTGTGACCTCAAAAAAACCGTCCACTGGACAAATCAGGCGAAGTGTTCGGGACTCGCTGGAGGAGATTCTTTTGAAACGGTGTGTGTGAATGTGATTTTTGCTAGATTACCAGTAAAGTTAGTCAATATTTTTTCCTTAGTTGATGAAACAAAGCTACCTCTTGTTTAAATTAAGTGTGTAATGTTAAGTTGTTCATATTCCCTTCAATGTTTATCCTCTTATCTTACAGACTGAAGGAGGCCGATATGAAGATTTCATTGGACAAGCCTGCCGAGTTGGCCAGAAGAACGGAGAAAGAGCTTTTTGCTCTTTTTCAGGGTGTTGACAGCAAATACAAAAATAAATACAGAAGTTTGACTTTCAATCTGAGAGATTCCAAAAATAATGTAAGTAATTTGACATTATTTTTTTTGGTAATATGATTGTTTTTCAGTAGCATATGATATAACAACCTTGCAACAATATTGTAAAATACGATTTCATATTTGACATAATATTTCATGTCTCTGTGCGGTATATTTTCACTGTTTACCTATTTTCATTTCACTTCTAAAAATCTAATGCAGTGTTAATGAAAATAAATGTTCTTTTGCAGGTGTTATTCAAGCGAGTGCTCAAGGGGGAAGTTTCCCCTGCAGATTTGGTGCGTATGACTGCAGAAGAGCTGGCCTCTAAGGAACTGGCTGCTTGGAGACAAAGAGAGAATCGACATGTTAGTAAAACATAGCTGTGTTGCATTTCTAAAATCTCACAATAAACAACGTAATGCCATTTGCAAAGTGTTTCACTTCATTAGTAAAGTAAAATACGCAGCAGGAAATGACATTAATTTGTCCATCAGAAAAGTCATTTCATAGTCATTCAGATTTTGATTTTGAATTCAGAATTTTGACTGTTAACCCTATTGATGTCTTTGCTGGCAGACGATTGAAATGATTGAGAAAGAACAGAGAGAGGCAGAGAGACGTCCTATCACTAAAATCACCCATAAAGGGGAAATTGAAATTGAGAATCAGGAGCCTGCCAAGGCACCAGAGGCCATAGAGGTTGAGGTGAGATTTGGGAGACATTATGCTCCATTCTGTGCAGCTTTGTTATATTTTCCAACAAGGAAAAAGAAAATTGCTTACTAAATTTTCCTTCTGTGTTTTCAGCCAGAGCCTGTGCCGAAAGCTGCGGAAGTGCCTGAAGAAAAACCCCCTGAGACTAAAGCTGACAGTCCCAAGAAATCTGTAGATACCACCAACTTGCACAAGTCTCATCTATTTGACCTCAACTGCAAAATCTGCACAGGTAAAACATTTTTATGAGTTCAAATAAAGTTCTGAAAAGGTTATTTTTATTTATTTTTTGGGTGAAGAATTAAATGGGTTATATCATACTAAACTAAAAAGTATCCTGGGTCTACTTACGTTAGCAAAGCTTTTTTGCTTATAATTAAAGTCTGATAAATTAAGTCCATTAAGAATCTTCCACTTTGCATGTTAAAAAGAAACTTGTGTCAAAGTTGCAAAAGTAGTTATTAGTAAAGTTTTCAGAGTTAAAGAATGTGTTTATGGTACAATTAACTTGCTTTGATTTTTTGATGTTTCTCTGAAGGTCGCATGGCTCCACCTACAGAGGAAGCTGCTACAAAGGTGGTAAAAGTGGCTACAACAGTTGTGAGAAGACAGTCTAGTACGACAGATGAATCTCAGCACTCCACACCTACACCTACATCAGCACTGATAGACGATCTGTCTTTAAGAGCCATGGAGGAAGGTCTCCTCAATTTTTTGCCCGAATCCAGGTAAGATTCCTGATTAAGCATGATTTTTAAGCAATCTCATGTTTCGTAAACGAGACTAAATGACATTATGAAATTGTTGCTTTAATAGGTCAGATAGTCTGAGTAGCAAAGAAGACACAGCGACATTCCTCAGCAATTTGGAAAGTCTGTGGAGCGGCTTTGTTGATATGCCAGCTGTGGCGAGGTTTCTAACAAAAGCTTATCCTGTCTCTGGAATACTGGACCAACTTACACAGGTAAATTGGCAGTCAGACATTTTGAAACATCCTAAATGTGTCATTTACACATATGACCTGACGTATTAGAAACATTTTGAATTGTGTCTGCAGGATTTGCCAGACAACATCCAAGTAGGTGGACGAATCTCTCCTCAAATAGTCTGGGATTATGTCGAGAAAATCCGTGCTTCCGGGACAAAGGTGAGAATGATTTATTCTTAGATTTGTCACATTCTGTGTGTGACCATTTGTATGTGCTGTTTGTGACTTTACATTTTTTCCCCTAGGAAATATGTGTTATTCGTTTCTCCCCTGACACCGAGGAAGATGAGATCTCGTATACTTTGTTATACGCCTATTTTAGCAGCCGAAGAAGATACGGTGTTGTCGCCAACAACCGCAAACAAGTTAAAGACATGTATCTCATTCCTCTCGGCTCCACAGAAAAAATTCCCCATCAGATTGTACCGTTTGATGGTCCTGGTAAGACTTTCTTTACAGGTTCATTTGTAGGATCCGCATGATTTTTGCAAAAATCTTGATATTAATTGTGGCACTCCACATTGTAGGGCTGGAGACCAATCGTCCCAATCTTCTTCTCGGATTGGTCATCCGCCAGAGACCGAAAAGAGACTTTGGGGTAATCCTGCCAAGCGATGTCAGGGAAGCTCCAAGTTTCTTGGCAGAAAGCAAACCTCATGTCGATTACCCACAGAAAGCTCCTGCGGCTCAAGACGCAAGCACACGGAAAAAAGACACAGCAGACTTAATCAAGTCCGTCGTTGAAGAACCTATATTGGATACTGAGACCGAAGAGAATGTTTCTTTGCGCTTTCTTCCTGGGGTGCTGAAGTTGCCTGGAAATGGGGCATCGTCTTCGAGCGACACTGTGAAGAGTGATTCTACAACAACAGTAACCAAGAGTCCAACTGTTGATAGTGGAAACCATGCAGAAATCCATCCTAAACCTACAGCCACAGCTCCTCGACTTGATCGCTTCATTATCAAGAAAAAAGACCCCAAAGCTGTTAAAACAGAGCAGGCGCCATTCAACTCGAGTTTGGAGACCAACTCAGAAAAGAAAGAGAGTGGAGTCATTCTTTCTCTGAGTGACAAACCTGCAGATGTTTCAACAGAGAGTTTCCTGTCTTCTCTCACGACCGCTAAACCCAAAGATGAGTCCGTGTCCGGCAGCACAGCTGCACCAGCTAGTCAAGCAACAAGCGAAACCACATCATCGGATGCATTGAAAGACTCTGTCAATGATGGCTCTAGCTCTGTCCCCAAAAACGAAACCGTATCAAGTCCCACCAAGTCTTTGAAGACATCTGGTATTTTAAAGACACCATCTTCATCAGCTGAACCTACCGAGTTAAAACCTCAACAACTAGAAAGTAATTCAGAAAAGAAAGTTACTCAGCAACCATCGGTGCAACCCCCTCAAGAGTGCAAAGCCATAGAGGACATCCAAGCCATCACCACAATCTCCTCCACTGGGAAAAACGAAGGTCCCAAGCAGTCCAGGACCTCTTCTTTTAACCCTAAAGTATATAATCCAGCCGCCATTTTTCATTCGTATTATGCTGGTCCACCTGATCCCCAATATTATCCTCCTCCAGCCAATCCTGCCCCTTTCTTACCCCTTCAATCACAGGTTCCTCCGCCTTTCCCGTTTCCTCCTGGTCCACCTCCTCCACAGATGTTCCCTCAAAGCGATCCTCACATGCTTGCTCCACCTTGGCCTCAAACCGTCCCTCCCCAAACGCTCCCTGCGCCTCCTCTGACATATGAGTCCAGCTTGCCGACCTCTTCGCCCCTCAGCAAAGACGAGAAGGGTTCGGAGAAGTCCTACGGTGACTTGGGCGACAAGCCGTCCAGAAGGTCCGATGAGACGTACAGGAAGGACAACAGAGATAGAGACCACTATGACAGACACCATCACAAAAGCAGGCACTACGACAGGGACCGCGAAAAACACAGGGACAGAAGTCACAGTCATAAAGAGCACCACTCGAAAGAGGACAAGTATGAAAAACGGAGAGAGCGGCACCACAGCAGCAGTCATTACCGGGACAGAGACAAACACAAACAGGATTCTGATTATGAGAAACACAAGAGAGACTCGAGACACAGGCGTTCGTGATCTTGGCATGAAACCGCTCCACTTTCCTTAAATCTGTCAAACAGTAGAAGAAAACTATTTATAAAGTTGCAAAATGATTTTTTATATGGAAAAGCAGCTAGTACGAGATTTTTAGTTGGTGTTTTTTTTGCAATCTAAAGGATATTTGTTTTGTTTTAAAATGTACATTTTCCCTACCTGGCTTTACAACTACCCACTAACATTGTCTTCACAAGCAGCTGGTTGTAATCAAAAAAATGAAACTACTGTTGTACGCAAAGTGCTACGAGACAAAAAGTCTCATGGTTGATGAGAACAGCTTCTTTTGCCTCACTTATTTTTCCGTTTTAATTTTTCTAAAATTGGCTTCTTAAGTATTTTCTATGTTTCAGGTGACAAATATTTCTTTGTTCATTTTGGCTTGTCACACAACAGAAATGTGCATATTCAGCACATGTACAGTTCATAATAAAATGTTTTTATTGTTAGTAAAGCGACTGAAATTAAAGTCTTTGTTTCTTAAAGAGACTCATTTTTTATTGTCATGCATTGTAATAAATAAAACACCTGAGATCACAGAAAAAGGTAGTGTTTATTTTACAGCAATGAAAAGGCAATTAAATAAGATTACTTTTGGGGTAGTATATTATTATTATTATTTTATATTTGATCATTATAGGAAATGGAAGTGTATCAACTATAAGCCACAATTTTTTTAATACAAGTGGGGTTTTTTTAACACCACGTACATAGAATATGGTTTAAAACTATTTAGACATCCCAAATTTTGCTAATATTTCACAAATCAAAACATTAGACATTCTGACCCTTTGCTGAAAAAAAAGTTTTAAAGCGCTATTTCATACCTTATTTGTTTTGACATTGAGAATAAAATCCTTCACAAGTAGTTAATATATAAATTCAGAAAGGTCACCACATTATTTTATTTAAAATAAATTTTTTTGTTGTGTTGTGTTAGTGCAGAGTAGAAAATTGTCAACAGTTTTTTCTGTGGCATAAACAAGAATAACAAATCTGGACAAATATCAACTGGTAATTCAGTAAGAGGCACAAATATATAACAGTCCTGCGATCGTGTTCATCTCTTCATTTCGTTTCTTCAAACAACACATTTGTGTGGTCATTTTGAGATTATTTTTTGCAGTGTTTTTTGTACCTTTCATAAGCATCTTTAATGCAGGATCATTTTACCATGCCAGTGATAAACAACAGATTTCACCTCTTAAAAACGGGCATTGAGCATGTATTTGTGAAAAAAATCTAGACGTGAATACCTAAAATCAAATATCAAGATATCAACAATAAGCACAGTCAAAACCTTCACTGGTTTGTAGAAACTCCAGCTCTCTGATGTCCTGATACAAGAAAACATGTTTAATACTCCCATCAAACCCTTTAGTAAATACACCAGATGTAACTGATGCCACATCTCTTTTCAATTCAAAACCCCCTAAATAAATCACCCCTCCATAATTTACCGGTACATACCGTTCAAAGGGGTCAGTATCTTCAAAAATGACTCTTTCCTCATTCACATAGACCTGGATGAGAGTCCGGTTGTGAGTAACAGACGGGTAATTCCAGTGATTACAGCAGAAAGTGTTTTGATGCACAAGAGGAAGAGCGGTTCTCTCACCAAGATTGACTGAAACCTTCAGATAACCGTCCTGCAGACCAACCGCTAGATGGTCATCGTCTTCACTCTCTGCTTTCCCCATCCAAAGGATCAAACCGTCCCAAGCTGAAGTAGAAAAATTCAGTGACACCTCGGTGTACATCAGATTCCTAGAGTTGTACTTCGGATCCTTGTATTTCAAATAAGAGTTTCCAGTAAACTTTAAAGTCCTCATCGTAACTTCTTGGTCACAATAAATCCCAATGCATCCTAAAGAACACATACATGAATATGAAGCAGACGTTGTGTTATGGACACAGACAGAATCATATTGACAAAGATTTTTGACACGGTGAACTGACTGCTGGCACCGTGAACCGGTTCACAACGAGGGGCAAATACACCTGAATGAAGAAAGACCTGCTGGATGGCAGTAGCCACCGTTCAAGCAAACCTTATATCCACACGCTGTCCCGTTCCAGTCGCCAACATTGGCTCCGTCCAGTGCGCCTGTCTCTGTAAGCTCAAGGTCCTGCCCGTTGACTATGACCTCTCGAATGCCTCCGGTGAATCCCACCAGGTCCTTCTCTGTGTCATCCAGGGACACTGTGTTCAGGGAAGACACACCACCAATGAAAATATCTGTGGTGACATCCAGAGTGGTCGAGCCCTCCGAAGAGTTCCTGGTCACGGCTTCATCGTCTAGAATCAGGAAGCCACGGTTGCCTTTTCTACCAGCCTTCACTGTGTGCCACCTCATGCCGGTCACATCTACACTTTTCGGAGACTGTAATACAATAGTTTAATTTCCCAGATTATAGCGGAGCAGCACAAATCCAGCTGATAGGGATAAGCTGAGGAAATCACCTTTGGTGGGACGAGAATAAACGAAAATGAACAGAATTTTGTTCACAATATTACAAACTATATTGTAATCTTTATTGTTTTTATTCACATTTTGTTATTGAACATATCTTAAATATGAATATGTATTGAGCATACACTTAAATGGTTTAATTTAGCAAAATGTAACAGAATTCAAGATGCTGTCTTACCGGCGCCACTGCTCAAGTAGCGTGCGGTGTAGAACAGGATGCCCTCCGGTGAAAGAGTTTGAAACTGCAGTTGCAGATGAGTTCTGTGCCTTATGTTGATGGGAGGAAATGACATCCAAGACGATTGATTCCCACTGAAGAAATGATCAGTGATAGATACAGCTGGAAAAGAAATGGAGAACCCTGAAAGTGTTGAATTTTAATAAGCTTATTTAAGCAACTTTTTGACTTTTTTAAAGTGGACATGGAGCAGTGGAGTGTTTTTTTTTAAATATAAAAGGTAAAAATATTTAGATTTATTTTGATCAAGTTTCGTATTCAATATATATATATATATATACAGTGGGTACGGAAAGTATTCAGACCCCCTTAAATTTTTCACTCTTTGTTATATTGCAGCCATTTGCTAAAATCATGTAAGTTAATTTTTTTTCCTCATTAATGTACACACAGCACCCCATATTGACAGAAAAACACAGAATTGTTGACATTTGGAATGGCAGAGGATCCCCAAATCCAGGTGTGAATAACTTGTTGCATCTTTCCCAAAAAGACTCATGGCTGTATTAGATCAAATGGGTGCTTCTACTAAATACTGAGCATTTTTCAGTTTTTCTTTTTTAATAAATCTGCAAAGATGTCAACAATTCTGTGTTTTTCTGTCTGGGTGGGGTGCTGTGTGTACATTAATGAGGAAAAAAAATTTACTTAAATGATTTTAGCAAATGGCTGCAATATAACAAAGAGTGAAAAATTTAAGGGGGTCTGAATACTTTCCGTACCCACTGTATATGTGTGTGTGTGTGTGTGTGTGTTTAATTACATACTATACACAATATTGTTCAAAAGTTTGGAGTCAATGAGATTTTATTATTCACCAAAGAATCCTACAAAAAACATTATTAACATTATTAAGTTTTGCCATTAATGTTTTAAAATGTCATTTATTTGTGTAAAGTAAAAAAAAGTTATTTTAATGTCACTATTTTACTGTATTTTTGATTATTGCATCCTTCGTCTTCAGAAACATTTTTATACACATTTATAAAAAAAATTGTAAATGCATGTAAATATATTATATTATATTCATTATAATTATATA